AAACCAGGCGCTCGTCAAAATAATGAAATCGAAGAAAACAGGCATTTTTCTTTCCATTTGGCAATTTTTTTTTCAAATTTTCCCTTTTTTCTTTTACTCAGCACCTTTTAAGTCCATTTAAAAAAAACAAAAAACAATTTCATTTTCTGTGTGGCTTTTACGGAAAAACATTGATTAAAGGCACAAAAAGTGAATTTACTGTTTCCAGGGACTCTCAAGCTTTGGAAGCCACCGAACTTTGGCGACCATTTCCTCTCTCATTTACCCCTGAAACCAGATGACCCCCTCCTCTTTCAATCCAAAATATCTCGACCTCCATTGAAGATAGAAGGATGATATTTTAATCGAAAACAAGACAAAAAAAACAAGCGTTACATTTAAGATAATACAAATAACTCCATATATCCAAACATGTACGAGAGCCTGATTCCAGCGCGTCGTGACAAACTGTACTACGTCACCACGGGGCCACTAGAGGCAGTGGAGAAGACGGGAGGGCTTACAAGTGGCACAGAAGAAGTGAAGAAGTACTGAGGAAATTAATTATGGCTCAAAGAGAGTCAGAATGGATGGCGGGTGCTTTGGTGTGGTCTGCTCTTTCTCTCCTCTGAAACATCTGCCGTCCTTATCTCTCCCACTTGTGTGTGTGTGTGTGTGTGTGTGTGTGTGTGTGTGTGTGTGTGTGTGTTATACTCTCTTGTAACACCTCTATATATGACCTTATTGAGTTGTAAGCGCCGTAAAACGCTTTCTGAAACTAAATGAAGTTTCAGTGTCATAAATGTGAAAGTATATTATGTAAAAAAAGAGAACATAAACCCAACCCAAAAGTTGTCTTCCCCTCCGCCATATCCAGGGGGTGTACAGTTTATTCAGCTACCACTTATTGATTACGGCGCGAGTGACCCCGGTTTGAACCCCGTCAAAGGATTTTTCAAAACTGTCGTCAGTTTATGGGGGGGGGGGGGTTGTTTGTTTTGTTTTTGTTTTGTCGTTTTTACTTGATCTTCTCATTGTCTCATCGGATTCTGGTACTTTTTTGGAGGTACTGCTTTTCTTACTTAATTTTTACAAGCCGTAGGCCTAGTCCCTATTTTGTAGCAGAACAAGTTTAGTTGAAAATATGTATACGAACGAAGACCATTTTCACCCTAAAATGATAGGCTTCAAGCTACAAGTTTGTATTTCCAGTCAAAATATTCCTAAAAGAATTCAAATTTGATATAATGAAGATACAGTTACAATTGCAGTACAGGTAAGTAGATGTTGATTTATGAAGGATGAGGAATAGATCAGAAACATCTAAGAATATGTCGTCCAGTCAGTAGACGGTTTTTTGTGTTTTTTTAACTTCGGTGCCGTAGAATGACAGAGTTCTATCTGACATTTTTGGCCGTTTTGAACTACAATGACCAAATGACCAGGAGATCAAAAACCAATGTACTATCTGCTCTGTCGGAATGGTACAATTATTAGGGATCGCTATCAAGGTAGGCCTAGGCCTATACGTTCTTACACTGCCTCTCTGACCGTGTAGACCTGGACGTAACATTTCTCAAAACTGGGTTCCGAGCTGATAAGTTTGGTTTGGTTTTTGTAAAGTGTTTTACGGCGCTCGCAACTGCATAGGTCAAATGAGCGCGCGGGACACACCTAATATTTTCAGTTGGTAGGAAATTTTGAATTTTGCCCGGGTGGCGGCCGAAGCCTACTCTTAT